GGAGGCAGGAGAATCGCTTGAACCGGAAGGCAGAGGTTGCAGTGAGCCGAGATAGCACCATTGCATTCCAGCCTGGGGGACAAAAGCGAAGCTTTGTCTCAAAAAAAGAAAAAAGAAAGAAATGCAAAATCAAAGTTGTTAAATATTCAGGACTATTAACATGTAGTCTTCTTAGCACTAGTTTTTAACTGCTTTCACATGTGATTGACATAGAATAAATAGCACATATTTAAAGTGTACAATTTAGTAAGTTTTCATGTTTGTGTACACCTGTGATACCATCACCACAATCAAGATAGTGAACAGAGCTATGCTTAAAGTGTGCTCTAAATGGGACTCAACAGCCATGTTTGCCTCTCTTTCCATGTTTGTATTCCTATATTCTTGAGCTTTCTTCTGGGCTGCAGTTAAGTTACTTGCAAATAGTTTGAACCTTTGAGTGTTTGCTAGACCTGATCCAGAACAGTGTTTAGACCAGGGCTAATTATACCCCATTACTGAAGCAAGATCCTTCTGGATACTCTATTCAGTGCCCATGAATCATGACATTTTCCAGGCTGACTGGTAGAAGAGACTGTTTCCAGCCCTGTATCAGTGCTGTGCACTGTTCGCCTTAACCCTTTCTGGTGTTTGTTTTCCTGGCCTTGGGTAGTTTCCTCACCCGCATGCACTGATCAGTACAAAACTAAGTACTCAAGGGGACCACTGCAGAGCCCCAGAGTCCTTATTCTATATTTTTCTCTCTTTGGCACTCTGTCCTATGAAGTCCAGACTCTTTGATCATCGTGGACTTTCAGCTCTTTCTCCGGAACTTCTGAACTTGGCTCAACCTGGTTTTCCCCTTCCTGCACAGCACCCTTGAAACTGTCAAAGCAGTGAGCCAGGGTAATAAAAATGGGACTCACCTGGTTTGTTTCCCCACCTCTCAGGAGTCACTGCCCTTCATTGCCTAATGTCCCGTATCTTAAGGTAGGAGGAGTAAATCTGGTCCTGTTGTGTCTTTTTGGCCAGGATTAAATTACCTGCTTAATTTAATACAATTATGATAAAGATTGGTTCTTATGTCAGGATAGTATGATTTTCTTTAGAAGAACTAACCTGTAAAAGGCTGTTATTTAGTAAAAAGTTTGTGACTTAATGATATATCTTTGCTCATATGGTAATGATAGTTTAGTAGGGTTTTTTTTTAAGCTACCATGTATATTTTAATTAGGAAGACTGGCTTTGCATAGCTGAATGGTTACCACTTAAATGTTTGTTTAAAATTTTAGAATAGTAGGAGATAAAACGCTATATCTTAAATTTTACATGATTGAGAAATGTATTGCTCATACACATACACTAGGGATTTGGGGACATGCTTCTCTAATTAATAAAGCATAGTATTTATTTTTATTTTTATTTTTATTTTCTTTCATTTTTGTTTTCGAGACGGAGTCTCACTCTGTCGCCCAGGTTGGAGTGCAGTGGCACAGTCTCGGCTCACTGCAACCTCTGCTTCCCAGGTTCAAGCGATTCTCCTGCCTCAGCCTCCCGAGGAGCTGGGATTACAGGCACCCACCACCATTCCCGGTTAAGTTTTTTATTTTTAGTAGAGATGGAGTTTCACCATGTTGGCCATGCTAGTCTCGAACCTCTGACCTCAATTGATCCTCCTGCCTCAGCCTCCCAAAGTGCTGGGATTACAGACGTGAGTTACCGTGTCTGGCCAGGCCTAGTATTTAAAGTCGTCTGTCTTCCTGAAGTTTTTGTCAGATGGAATTGGTTATTACAAAATTAATACTAAATTTCTTTTTTGCGTAATTCTTACAAAGTCGTGCTAGCCACCACAAATGGACATAATTCAAAATAATAATGAATTATTTACTTTGTAAGAAATCTGCTTCTTTCTTTTAAGAAGTCTTTTTTTTTTGAGACAGAGTATTGCTCTCTCGCCCAGGCAGGAGTACAGCAGTGCGATCTCTGCTCACTGCAGCCTCTACCTCCCAGGTTCCGTGATTCTCTTGCATCAGCCACCCGAGTAGCTGGGATTATAGATGTGCGCCACAACACCTGGCTAATTTTTGTATTTTTAATAGAGACCAGGTTTCATCGTGTTGGCCAGGCTGGTCTCGAACTCCTGACCTCAAGTGATCCACCTGCCTCAGCCTTGCAAAGTGCTGGGATTACAGGCGTGACCTACTGTGCACAGCCTCTTTTAGGAAGTCTTATAGAAGAATCTAGGATGAGAATCAGAAATTTCAGATACCTTAGTTTTCCCTCTTGACACATTTCAGTTGGATACACATCTATTTTCCATCATTTTCCAAAGTATTCTCTTTTAAAAGTTATTTTTAAAGATTAATGATCTTTGAAACAGTCTAAAATATTGCTCTACAAACGGTATTCTGCAGAAAGCTGCTGACCTGAAAACATTGTGTTTGTATGTGTTCAACAGTAGAGGAATGATTCTGTGGTCAAATAACTGAAACAGTGAGTCAAAGTTAGGTGTTTTCAGTCCACCTTCATGAAACTCATTGTGCCGAAGTGTCCAGGACAGTGTTCATGCCACTTATTACTATAGATGTGTTAGTTGCTATCATATTTATACTTTGATTTTTTTTGTTTGATTTGTGGCATTTGTATGCAATATTTTCTTTTTAAAAAAATGTTTATTTATTTTTATTTTTGTAGAGACAGGGTCTCACTATGTTGCCCAGACTGGTCTCTCACTCCTGGGCTCAAGTGATCTTCCCACCTCAGCCTCCCAAAGTGCTGAGATGACAGGCATGCACCACTGCTCCCAGGTGAATCCAATTGTTTTCAACTAGTTTTCACTGCATACAGTATCTCATCTCTCCTGTTACAAATCCTGTAAGGATTGGGACAAGATATAAATATCAAATAAAGCAAGTCTGTTCCAGTCCTTTAAATATTGCTTGGTTAGAATTTTGTGGCAAGATTTAACACATAAACATTAAGCCTGGAACCAAATGTTAAAAAAGGAAGATAACATTTGTTTAATATTATTATATGCTGTGTTAATTGCTTTATATTGGTGCTTGAAGGTAGATGGTATTACTGAAGTTTGCAGAGGTTAAAAAAGCTAGTAAGTGATAAGAGTTGGGATTCAGTTTCTTGTCTTTTTGATTTCAAAACAGACTTTTTGCTCTGCATATTGTCTGTGGAAGAAGTAGTGTCATGAAAAATGAAAGATTAAATTAATGTTTCAAATTTTGGTGAAATCAGATATGGCCAAAAGAAAGTTTCTTGATTACATGTTAATTTATCCCTCATCTATTGGGAGGACTAGGGACAATGTTCCCATTTTAAGTCTAAAATTCTTAATGGTTTTAGGGTTTGAGTTACTTTCAGAGCTTTACTTTTACTTCTGAGTTCTTGAGACTTTTAAAACTTTTCATTTATTGTGGTACATTTTTGTTTTACTTAGTAAAATTCTAAAAATTAAAATATATTGAAATATTAAATAAATAATTTAATTAATTAATAAATTAAAAAACTAAAAATATTTGCCTGTGCCTACTGTGTGACAGGCATTGCACTAAGGCCTTTGGCATGACCTGATTAAGGATATAGATTCTTTTTTAATTTAATTTTATTTTTTTACTCTCAGGATATGCTTAAGGATATATATTCTTAAGACATCATTTTTAATTATCCAAATATTACCACAATTACTATAAACATTACTCTGACCCTTGTTTATTAGTCTCTTGATTTCTCTAAACTTTCACTTTCATTTCTTCAGAGCCAAATCACTCACTCGCCACCCCATAATGAGTAGCTCTTGATACTCTAAAGAGGCCATATCCATTTTACTTCTGTCTGCATCTTGTGGAATATTATATAAAACAATAAGAAATTTTATTCATAATTAATAAGTTTAGCTTGGCCTCAGTTATAGTATGTTTCATTGTTTATCCTTCTGTATTTGAAGCAAACATAGAGGGGATGTAAATTTAATAATTTATACAGTGTGCTCCGGTCCCTGACTGTTTACCTCAGCCTCAAACTTGTAGTCTTGGATTACATACAGTACTGCCTTCTCCAAGGCCTTTGCTCGTGTTTTCTTCCCACTATGCACATGAGTTTCCATAAATAACTTCCTATTTTGATTTTTAATGTCTACTTACTCTTTGTTTCAGTACGGGTATCACGTGTGGGACCGTCTTTGCTTTCTGTCTTTCCACTTTGTCCACTCTGCCACAGCATGTGTCAGGATATCTTCCTTATTTTCATAACACCCTAGATATCTCTGTCATTGCTCTTACTGCATTAAATTTTTTATATGATATGTTTTTGTCATGAGAATGAGCTTCTGCAAGGAATTATCATTTCTTTTTTATCTTTATATTTTCATTGTGTAGCACAATATTAGCAAATAGTAGAAGTCTGGTACATATTTGATGAATGCACAATAAATGGCATTGATTTTTATGTTTATCATTTTAAAAACTTTAGAATACAACTTTTAATTGTTTTATTTATTATACAATATTTATTTCGGGACTGTATTATTCTTGTGAAAGACTCATGGGTAGATTTTCTCTTAAAATTGTGAAAAAGTTGTCAGAAGCCATATTTATATAATGATATTCAAAGGCCATGTCATGGTGAGATTTTTTTCCCCCTAATCTCCACCATTCCTCCACCCTCTTAGGATACAGATCTTATGAATGAGACAGAGTAAAGGACTTTAAGTTGGATAAAGATTAGGATTCCCTGCTGGCTAGTAATTATCAGAATCTGGATGGTTATTTATTTGGATGAAATGGTGCATACATTGTGTGCATCAAAAGTAAAGCATATGTGATTGTTAGAGGAATGTTTGAATTCCCCAGTGGGATGTCATGGGGTATGTTTATAAACTCCCACTAAGCAGTAGTTCTACAATGGAATTTCTCTGGCATTGAGATAATAATTTGCACAGTCAAATTACCTTCTTTACAAAACCCCAAGGAATCATGAGGGCCTAATCCCTTATTAATGTCAACCCACAGGCTGCAAGAAAGCGTAAGATTGCCATTCGAAAAGCCCAGGGGAAAAATGTGGAGGCCATTCGGGAACTGAATGAGTATCTGGAACAGTGAGTATTTTACAAGAGGATCGTGTTTTGTTATTCTGATAAATCTTTTTTAATTAAAATGGAATTTGCATTTGATTTTCCTGTTTGTCTTCATGCTGTTCATTTGCAGAATATCTACACACTTACTTTTTTTTTTCTTTTCCTCTCGCCAGATTTGTTGGAGACCAAGAAGCCTGGCATGAACTTGCAGAACTTTACATCAATGAACATGAGTAAGTTATTAAACACACTTAACATTTTGTTGAGTGCAGTTTTCATCACTGTAAGTTCAGAAAGCACTGTGGTTTCCAGAGGATTGGTGAGAAGGTGTGAATCATGTCGTTTGAAATGAAAAACAGAACAAATCAACAATTAAATGAAAATAAATCAATAATTTGCTGGTCATAATATGTGAATAGCTTTAACTAGGTCATTTGTGTTTTGCCATATTGTTTATGTTTAGGAAATAAGTTTTTCTTTCAAATATAGATGACATTCTTTGGAAGTAAAAAGGCCTGCATTTGCTAAGCTAAATTTATTTTTGGTGAATCAAAAATGTGAATTTTTAGAGTTCAGATTGTTCTTATAATACAAAGAGTATTATACTCCCTGCTGTTTAAAAATTCTGTCAATTGTATGCATGTATTAGCCTTAGTACTGAGAGAATCAACTCTTCCAAAGTAGAAGAATTCTGTTGCCTGGGTAAAAAACTGAGAATAATCAAGAATGTTGAATGCTGTAGGATCTTGCTTATTGGATGTTTAATGTTTTTGTTAGCTTTTTTATTGCTGTAGTGACAGGAGGAAATCCCAGTGTGAGAGGATTAGTCCAGAGTCTTAGTGCAAGTTTGCTAATATTACAGCATTAATGCTAACCTCCATCTAGAGGCATGTTTTTTATTTTTTTTCTTAGTTCTTCTGAATCTGAAGTATATGACATTGCTTCTTTTCCTTCTTTTTTGACAGAATAGAATCAGATTCTTATGCACGTTTTCTTGTGCATGAATATTTAACCTTGTTCTCATACTACAAACAACTGATGAGAAATAGAATGAAGACATTTGTCTGTTGTCTGTGGTCTATATATATAATGTGATAGAGAGGATTGAAGTCTGTCTGCATAAGTCTAAGAAAAGTGGGAGCTAAAATAAAAGTAATAGCTGTGATTTAATGAATGTGTACTATATTCTGGGAACATTTTTGAAGTTCTCTGCTATACTCTGAAACAGATACTCTGGTTTTGATTAGGAAATTATTTCCTGAATCACATTCAGTATAGATGATGTGCTTGTTTGTACACATATGTAAACATACTTACGATTTCTTATGCATGTGAGACAGTGTATAATACTTATATTTAAATACATGAAATTGAATCTTTAGAATATAGTAAAAATATTTAGCATTAATTTTATTTTGTTTCGAAAACAGTTGACAGTCATTTAACATTTTTTTGTACTTTTTAAAACTTTTCTGACTGAAAGCATTTTTAAACATTTCAAATTAACAAGGATTTTTTTTTCAAGTTAAAGGAATACCTAATGCAGAAAATTTGAGAAACACAATAAAGCATAAAGACCAAGACAAAAATTACATGTAATTCCAGCATCCTAAGTTAACTATAGTTTGAATTTTGTCCTTCCTTACCTTTTAAAACAAAAGCCCAAAATAAAACTATCTTTCGTAGTTTATACTTTCCCTTATATTTTGTCAAAAATTTCTTGTCACTGTAACAATCTGCAGTGTGTTTTGAATGGTTTTATATTATTTCATCTTACCAGTTTACCCTAGTATTTTTAACCAGTTTCCTAGGGAGATATAAAGGTATTTTTATATTTTTTTATATAATGCTGTAGTGATCATTTTTATTTTGTTTCTGTGGGTTAAATTCTTTGAACTAAAATTGCTTGATTAAATAATATGTACGTTTTCTGTGGTTTTGATAATAGTTCCTGATTGTTCCCTAGAATGTTAACATCAGTTTACCAGCACACCAGCATTTACTAGAGTCCCTTAACAATATTGTATATTGTGATTCTTTTTTAATCTTTACAAGTTTGATAGGTGAAATTGGTTCTACCTTTTTAGTTCATTTTTAAGAGCTCTTTTTGTAAAGGAGAGTAACCATATGTCAAAAGTATATCCTTGTTATATGCTTTTTAAATACTGACTTCTTAAAATTATAGGAACTTTACATTTTTAGAAAATCAGATTCATCAGTTTTTAACATTATCATGTCTGCTATCCTTTAATAGCTTAAAAAATATATCACCTTTTTTCCCCTACTTCATTTGCAATTTTATTTTTTTGCATGTATTTCTAATATTTATTTCATCATCAAATTTAGGTTATACCTTCTTTTTAACCTACCATTAAATTTATTTATTTGTTTCCCCATGTGGCACCATGTTCATTTTTGCTTTGTTTTGAATCTAAAGAGTTTATTAAAATAGAGGTGAATGTACACTTAAGAGAAATGAACTGAGAAATCTCAAAAAATCAAGAAATACAAAGATGTAGGAGCACCTGAAAAAATTTTTTTAGACGAAATGATAACTATGGTCAGCCTACCCTTTTATCTAGTATCACGAAAGTCTTTTTGGTCTTGAAGGTAGTTACAAAATGACCATTTATTTTTTCTAATTGAACACGTAGAAGGAATATTTATGTTTAGGTGAGTGGAAATACATATCTACAGATTTTTTGAAACTGAAAATTGCAGTCAGTTCACATGATTCATTTGACATGTTTGAGCAAGTCATTATAGGAGGAGTTTTTTGGTGGAATGTTAAATTATCGTAGGATATCAGTTTTAGCACCAGTCTCGTGGACACAGTGGCAAAAATGTAGCAGTTTTGAAAATGTTAGATATATTTAACGTTGGATATTCTTTTCTGTGTATGAACAGTTATAAGCTTTTTTAAGTATAATAGGTCACAGGCAGCTTTGGTAGCCTAGATCTAGAACTATTTTTTTTTCTTTAAGAGACAGAGTCTTACAGCGTTTCCCAGACTAGACTTCAGCTCCTGGGCTCAAGTGCTCTTCCCATCTCAGCCTCTTGTGTAACTGTCACTACGGGTGTGTCACTATGCCCAGCTCTGGAATTTTTAACTCCAAATAAATATCTGTAGTATAATTTTCATATAGCCCTATTTAATGTTTTTATAGAGAGAAAAAGGGATATAAAATTATACCACATAACCGTTTTATATTTTTAAGTTACTTTTATAAGTTCGTTTCTGATTTATAAATTATAGTTTGTTTTTAGTTATTCCAGGGGTATATGTTACACCCATTGACCATATTGAGACTCTTGTTCTAAAGTTTTAAAACTACAGTTAATTTTTGTGTGTGTCAGCACTACCAATATGTATCATAGGTTAAGTATCCATAACCTGAAAGTCTGAAATCCACAATACTCCAAAATCTGAAACTTTTTGAGTGCCAACATGATGCTCAGAGGAAATGCTCACTGGAGCATTTTGGATTTGGGATTTTTGGGTTAGGGATGTTCAACCAGTAAGATAATGCAGATATTTTAAAATCTGAAAAATTCTGAAATCTGAAACATTTCCGGTCCCAAGCATTTTGGTTAAGGGATACATACTCAACCTTTGTGAGCAAAAATACATTCACATTATGAAAGACAAAATTTTTTTACTCGATTTGTAATTGAAACTAGATACTATACAGCAAGGAACAGTTTAGTATACTACATTTATTATGATTGTGATTATAGTTCCTTTTCATAGGTCCAGCCTTTTAAAATTCTATATCAAAGGGAATTACCACAATTCTATAAGGAAAAATCGTGATGTTGGTAAAGTAACACACAGTACCAAATACCGTAACCTTTAGTTTTATATACTTTTGTAAGGAAGAGAAGAAACTATTTAGTTCTAGTACTGACTCTAACATTGTAATAACAATTATTGTTCTGTTTTAAGTAGATTCAAATTATTTTCACTTCTCTATTCTTAGTCTTGTTGAGTCACTGTATATAATGAATTAACTTCTCTATGCACCTAGAATAGTACTGGCTATCTATTATCCCTGACAAGATTGAGGAAATAGTCACTTTTTGTGTGGCCTAACAATGGCCTAGAAAAGCTGGACTAGACCATATCTTGAGCTCTTTCTAGCTCTAATTTTATTTAATTCTATATTTTATCCACAAAATTAGTTTGATACCATACATTGCAAAATTGGGGGAAGGAATCCTTTTCTCATATGTGATGCTAATTGATTTTTGATAAAATATCTTGGTATTCATTTTACCCTAAGAGCTACTACTACCTACCCATTTTATCTTGCTTTATGCACCAGTGTCACAGTTGTGCTCAACCCATTTAAATCTCTAAGAACTTTTATTCTTAGTCTCAACATGAATTTTTGGTATCATACTTTATAATTAAAGGAACACGTTTAGAAGAGAACTGTCTTTTGATAAAGTGTTTTAAGGTAGAGACAAATTTTCCCTTTTCTTTTAGAGTGATAAATAGATATTAGGTAGGTAGTCATAATACATTTGTTTTAGACATTTATTTAGTCATTTGTTTAGTCTTACTAAATACCTATCATGTGTCAAGAACCAGTGCTAGGTTTTGAATTTAAAAATGGAAAGGGCTAAATAGCTGCATGATCTTAGATAAGAGTATATATATATGGTCCTTCATAAATCTAAAACGCTGTAATTATTAGGTAATCTGCAGGGTGTATTTTTCTCCTCAGTCCCTTTGGGTGTGACTACTGTACACATTTTCATGTTACCATTGACATCTTCAGTTTTTCAATGTTATGTGTAATGCATATAAACAGCATATGTAGTGGTTAAAGAGTACAGGCTGTCTGGAGTGGCACAGCCTGAGATTCAGTTTCCAGCTCTGTGCCTCAGTATTCTCAGCTCTAGCATGGTGATAATAATTTCCTTCTTCCTAGGATTTTGGTAGGATTAAATGAGTTAATACATGTAACACGCATAGAAAATGCATGACACCTAATAAGCAATTAGTAAAATTTAGCTTATACTTGTGTGAAACAGGAAAATAATTTTTAAAAGTATATCAGGCGTTAGTGTCAAGGTAGATACTTTTGTATGTTGGTAACAAATGCCAAAAATAACTTTAGGTAACCTCTTTTTGTTGGGTAGTGTCATCACTTCCTCACTGGGAAGAAATCTTGTAACACCTGTGTTCATTAGGATTTCCTATAGATAGTGAGGATAGTCACATGGCATTAAACATTTAAAATATATTTAGTGAATTATAGTCACATGCTTTAAAATGTTTTTCCAGAGCTCTTTCTGGCAGTTGTCTTTCCTTAGGTTTTCAGCAAGATTTTTGTTTATTCTACCACAAGATTAAATAGTAGCACAGTGTATATCAAAACCAACTTGATCTATTTTTCATGGGCTTAGAAATTTATAACTTTATTATAATTTGGTATTTGACAGTAAACTTAAGTAATGAGAGAAATCTTTGTAATAGAATATGTTGGTAAATATATGCCTGTGAAGAATTTTTAGTGAGTAGAGAATATTTAATAAAGTATTTATTTTCTCCTTACACATTAGCTGTTTGAATTTTTTTTTAAATGATCAGTCAACTTCCAGAAGTTGTTCTATATACAACTTGATCCAAGGTCTTGAAGCCTTTCTTATTAGTAATGATGAGATGTAGTAGGAGTGACCCAATTTTTAAAATGCAGTATCTGTTGATTGTTTACAGGCTGCTTTAAGATTTAAGCCTGTGTTTATTAATTTCATGATAAAATTTAATGTCATTGATGTTTATGAATTTCAGATGACAAATACTTTATTAATAAAGCTATGTAAATTATTTTGTGAATAAATTGTTTAACATCACTAAAGTTTTTAAATTATTTCAAGGTTTAACTAAAATAAAAATTTGTGACTTTTAAAATTAATTTCTCCTCTTGATGTGTTTTTAGCTATGCAAAAGCAGCCTTTTGTTTAGAGGAACTAATGATGACTAATCCACACAACCACTTATACTGTCAGCAGTTTGCTGAAGTAAGTGTTTTCAGAACAATGGCATGTAATTTTATTTTGGTTACTATTCGGTATTATTATGGAACTAAGAATATTTCCTTCATGTTAAGCAAGTATATGTTTAAAACATCTGATGAACATTACATTGTGGGAATAAAAGTTTAAAATTTTTAACATTGCAGTGGTAATACTGACTTCAATTAAGACATACTTAAAACAGTGAAATTCCTTGTATTTTTATATTTGTGTACTATTTTCTTTCCTAATTATATCACATTTGCCACCACTTAATGGCTTCTGAGACATTTATAGTGATTATGATTGTTAAATCCATATTCTGGGAAATTTGTATTAAAGCCAGTTGGGACATAGGAAGTATTTATTTAATTTGCATACTGTTAAGAATAGCAGTACAATTGAATGCTATAAGGCTAGAAGGGATTCATTATTAAAGAATGTCCGTACAGATTATGAAAGGACAATTCAATATTTAAGTCCACATTTATAATGCCAGTAATAGAAAATACAATGTGAAGTGAAGCATTTGTGAGGCAGCTGAAATAGAAATTATTCTGGCTTTTTTATTGTGGCAGCATTTTTGTTTTAAAAACTACTCAGTCATCTCAATGTTCGTAGAACAGAATAGCTTTCTGGGGGAAGGTTATGTTTGAAATTTTAGATTAGCTTTAAAAACCTTTAGGTGAATTCTTTTAACATCTTGTATTTATTTTTAGAGAGAATATCTGTTTCGATTACTTAATGCCTGTGGTATGATGAAACCATGCTATATTTCAAAGTAGTAAAATAAACGGTTTTCAGCACTTTGCAATTTTGAACAGGTTAAATATACCCAAGGTGGACTTGAAAACCTCGAACTTTCAAGAAAGTATTTTGCACAGGCATTGAAACTGAACAACAGAAATATGAGAGCTTTGTTTGGGCTTTATATGGTGAGTTGAGGTGCATGTTTAATGTTATTTTTAAAAATCTGTCACTTAAAATCCATTCAACTATCCCCTCCAATCACTCCTCTCCTGTTTTTTGTATTTTATTGATAAGCATATAATTTTTTTCTGTAATTAATTCTGAGCAGTAGCTTGTAAGCCAGTTTTATTTTTGAATGTTACTACAGCCTGTTTGACTTTCTTTTTTGTAAACTATCTTTTATCGTATCAGAATTGAAATCTGCCCTTATAAAATTAAGTAGTAACAGGAAAAAAAACATGATTTCTTGTTTTGATATTCTTGGGTTTATGCCCAACATTATTGTATTTCTTCCCTAAATTATAGTTGTATGACGTATTTTTAAACTATGCCAATAAAATACATTAGAAATAAAATCCCTAATATATCAAATTAAAACATTTTTTATGGTGTAGAAAAACAGTTTGGAAATTGTGGGAAGTATGTAATGATCTCTTGTTTAGGTATGCCAAATGCAGAGTTTAGAAAAGTCAATTAATAAGAGTATGGGAAATGGAGGAATAATTTGCTGACCTTTAAGACATGTATATAAAGTGAGCACCTCTCTAAAATAAGAAAGGCTAGGAAAAATAAACTTTAATATGTCAGTTAGTTCTTTGAATTTTTTATTTATCCTGTTCTTTTGACAGACTTCTTGATAAGTGTCTTCTAGTTGCAGCTCAATGAAAAAGAACTGATTGAAGAAATGGAGATAGGAAGAAATAAAAATGAAATAATTTTTAAAAAGGAATGGCAAAATATGATTAGAAAATGGTTCAAATGTATTTCAAGAAAATTTTCCTGGATTCTAGCAAAGCTAATTGCAATGGCTTGAAAATATACTATAGTAGAAGTATCTCTTTATCAAATAAATACTAATTTTAAAAACTATATAATATACAACATATTATTAATAATAGTTTATACATAGCACTTTATGTGCTGGGCCTTGTTCTGACCTGTATTTTTTATTTTAAATCAATAAATCCTCACATCAAGTATTTGAGTAGGTGCTCTCAATACTATTCTCAGGTGGTGAAACTGAGACACGGATTTTATTAATTTGCCCAAAGATGGGCACAGAGCTCCTAAATGATTGAGTTGGGTTTCCAGCCCTGGAAGTTAACTCCATAGTTTTTCTCGTAACCACTGCATCTACTAAAATTCATAAGAAGAAGGTAACATTAAAGTCATAGAGGTATAAAAGTCAGATTTGGGGATATAGATTCTTCACTGGCAGAGACGGAGACATAGGTGAAAGAGCCTGTAGCACAGGCTGGCATAAAACAAAGGCTTAACCTGTTTTTGAATCACATGGTCAGATTCTTTTAAGAGTAAAATATATTTAAGAATAGGATTAAAGTTATATCTTACTCTTCACAGTAATATATACATTTAATAATTAGCATATGATTTTGGGGTTTTGTGGATTCTTTCACAGATCCCAGATTAAGAACTGCTCATTTAAATACATTTTTAAAAAGGAGAGGGTGGATCAAATTGCAGGGACTAATTGGTTCTCTAAAACACAGTTTGAAAACTCATGGTATAGTGAAAAGAGAAATGGATTAGAGATAAAGATCTTCTTTATTTCAAAGACCCATTATTTTGCTTTGGTCAAGTTAAATCTCTCCTATTGGACTTAAATTTCTTTTATCTATTAATGTAGGATGTCAGGCTAAATTATTTTTGAGTTTCCTTTTTCTATAAATATTCAATAATTATGTGATTCTGACATAGGCAAGCTTATGTAATTCAATAACAAGAAATAATACCAGTAATATCCTACAGTGGTAAAGTGCTTTTGGTTTATAAAGTGTTCTTCTATAGCTTCTTTATTTAAACGATACGGAGTTTTACCTTTAAGAGCTGTTACAGATACATAATTAAATAATTTTAGGTATTATTTAAAATATATTTTCCCTTTCCACTATTTTGGATTTATACTATATTTTAAAATATATTTTCATTTTTAAGCACTAATATTCAATTTTATGTTTATATTAAAAATTATTTTGGTACAGTTTTTAAAAATTCTTTATTATCATCCCATTGCAACCGTGTCCCTTATGTTTTTGATTATCTTGACTAGCAAAAAAGGAATTTTGCTTTTGATGTAATTGTTTGTTTGTTTTTAGTCGGCAAGTCATATTGCTTCTAATCCAAAAGCAAGTGCAAAAACGAAAAAGGACAACATGAAATATGCTAGTTGGGCAGCTAGTCAAATAAACAGAGCTTATCAGGTTAGTATTTATTGATCATTTTGCTATGTAGGTCAGTTAATGTATTTCTTAGTTTTGTTTCTACAAACTACAAAGTCAGATGTCTGGCATTGGACTTATATGCCTTTGGGGCTTTATGAAATGTATTTTGTGTAGAATTAATTTGTGGTTTTAAGACTACCTTTTTATCCCCTCAAGAGTAATCTGTTAGTAGTATTATTTCATAATTAACCTTGCAATCTGGAAATCTCAGTGGTTCTGCATTTGGCAAACGCAAACTAATTCTAAAAACTCAGGATAAATAAATATGTCGCATTTCAGAAGCAGATTGGGTATGTGAGTATATTTTTAATCATAAGTATCTCAAGAAATAGAAAAGAAGGAAGAAAAGCCTTAAAGTAAACTAATCAAACTGCGTAACAAAGTTTGTGCAGTCTGCTTATACTTCAGATCTTTTACTGAAACTTCTCCATTTGTATCTTCGTTTTCTAAAGCTCATCCTTAGCAGATTTTTGGGAAATTATTTTTCATGAGAAATTTACTCATGGGAAAACACATCTTCTTATATCTTTAGCCTTATTGTCTATAGCCTTTATATTTAAAGGACAGTTTGGCTTTTTATATACCCGTTGATCCTTTACCTAAGTATCTTAAGCATATTGTTCAGTTGGTTTTTTTGTGTGTGTTTAATATAGACGAGATCTTGCTACATTGCCCAGGCTGGCAGTGAACTCCTGGCTTCATGCGATCCTTTTACCTCAGCCTCCTAAGTAGCTGGGACTACAGGTGCAGGCATCACCATGCCCCACTGTTTCATTCTGTTTCAGAATAAAATGTTGCCGTCAAGAAGTATGATGCCATCTTGACTTGCTTTTTATCATAAGTGACTTTTTGTCTGGTTACCCAAAGGAATTTTTTCTTTATCTTTAAAATCCAGTAGTCTTACTACGATTTGTTTTATTGATTCTTCTTGGGTCAGTTTTCCTAAATACACAGTACACCCATTTAGTACATCAATTTAGCCCTTTTAGTTGAGAAAAGTTGCTTATAGAATTACAAGTATTTTTTTCTCTGCTTCGTTTTCTTTTTCAGGGTTTCAGTTACAAGTATATTAGACTTCATTTTTCTATGTCCTTTATTATTCATTTTCCTTCAAATTATTTTGTCATTTTCTGTATTTTATGTTTTCTCCATAATTTTTTATGAAGTTGATTCATATTTTTCTTGTCCTCCATGTTTAAATGAGGTAGTGTTCCTGGACTATTAGGAGGAGATGTCTATGGAATGGCAGGAAGTTGGAGATAGATTAGGGTAGCTTTCCCAGCTTGACTATTCTATGGCTACCTCCTTTTGTTGCTAAAGAGAACTCAAATATGACCTCTTTGTGTAGCCAGTCTTTCTTAGAACTGAGTGTGAATGGACAGTCTTTCTTAGAATTGAGTGTGAATGGACAGTCTGTCTTAGAACTGAGTGTGAATGGACAGTCTTTCTTAGAACTGAGTGTGAATGGACAGTCTTTCTTAGAACTGAGTGTGAATGGACAGTCTTTCTTAGAACTGAGTGTGAATGAACAGTCTGTCTTAGAACTGAGTGTGAATGGAGAGTCTGTCTTAGAACTGAGTGTGAATGGAGAGTCTGTCTTAGAACTGAGTGTGAATGGAGAGTCTGTCTTAGAACTGAGTGTGAATGGAGAGTCTGTCTTAGTGTGACCCAGAAAGATTTTCTGGCTTCAGCCCACTGTTCTATTTCTAGAGCCCTCAAGATCTTGAAATCTGAAGTGTTGCTGTCAGCTTTAAATGTTACATATTGTTGTTACAGTTTGTGTTTCTTCCTTTTTGTTTTGTTTCCTTCTGGGATTGCTGCCTCTGGGCATCACTCCTTTTCTCACCTCTCCTTATCTGAACCATCTCTCCTTCTTGCCCTGGTGTTTCTACCCTGTTAGGTTTGGTTTCAGTTTTTAATTGTTTTTCTTCAGGGTGTGAAGTTTTGTCCTTCTGGAAGAGGATGTTTGCTAGATATTTTAGAGATTTTAAGATAGTAGATGGTTAGACTTGTCTAATCTCACATTTGTGAATAGTTTTTTACACTTATCTTTGTTTTGGAGGTTATGAAGACTTCTAGGCCCTTGGCAGATGCATCATCTCAGATTTTCTTGTTTCGTGGATTAAGAATTCATGATTTGTTGGGTTTCTGGTTTCTTGTAGAGTAGTAGGTTGTCCTCTATTTCTATTTCTCCTACCACACAGTTGTTAATCTTTTGTAGGTCATGCTGCTCTTGATGTCATAGTCACATTCTAGGGTTTAGAAAATTGACTGTTACCTAGTTTTTTTGGAAATGTCGTCTGTGGGCTTGAGTTCTATTATGTTGGTTTTGATGCTGGCTTTTTGTTGTTCGTTTTTGCCCTTCTGGTTGGAGAAAATTTGAGGAGATTTAAAAAATGTAATGCCTCCATAATCACATCATCGAAAGTCACCTTTGTGTATTTTTATTGTCTGTTATAGAGCATATTAGTTTTGTTGGCATATTGTAAGTCAGAGTATTTATAAATATTAGCGAGACTGTGCTTCTTCAAATGTAGTTTGGGATAGCTCAGATCTGTAATGGAGTTCCACACAGAGTAGGCTTGGGAGTATGTGGGAGTGTGTGATTTAAAGGTAAGATTTGTATAATATAAAAGTAATGCTATGCATACTACATAATCGTTTTTAAGACATTTATGAGAAACAACTCTTCAGAGTGCTTTTTTGACACAACTATTTTAAAATCAATTTTTACTAAATTACAATATAGAAATAAGAATTATAACAGAAAAAAAGGATGCAAGTAATAAATGTGCCTTTCAGTGACTAATATAAGGTAAATATATCCAGGCTAATAATATAAACACTGCAGCATCCCAAAGCCCTCTTGGTAAGTCCTCTTAATTTCTCCTCTTGTTTTCCTTAAGAGTACTCACTTATAACCCTGTAGTTTATGGAATCAGCCAGTATGTATTCTTTTTTGTCTTGCATATTTCTATCATTATTCAGTTTATGGGATTTATCCTTGTTTATGTCTGTAGTTCATTCATTTTCTTCTACTGTAGTTCATTGTATGAATGTTATACTTTGTCTAGTCAGTTATTGCTATGCATTTGGAATATTTTCTGTTTGGGCTATTTTGAATAAACTATACTGAATATTGCTGTACAGATCTTTTGGTGGACATGTATGTGCAGTTCTTACTGTATGTGCAGTTCTGTATATCTTTGAGTGAAAATACTGGGTCATAGAATATATGTATATTTAACTTTAGTAGTTAAAGGCAGTTTTCCAAGTTAGTTTGCTCCCACCAGCGGTAAGAGTTCTAATAGTCCCACATCTTCACCAGCACTTGGTTCTGTCAGTCTTTGTAATTATAGCCATTCTGGTACATGTGCAGAGTGGTACTTCATGGTTTTATTTTGCATGTCCCTGATGATCAGTTCCATTTGGATATCCTCTTTCATGAAATATTTTTCTCATTAGTATTCGTATGACTTATTTCTTTAGTTTTTTGCTTTGAGCCCTTTTTTAGTTATATATAAGCAAATATATATAACTTTTTACTTTTTTGCTCATACGATCTTGAGGAATAGAAGTTCTGAAATGAAATGTGTTCACATGCCTCAGTCATTTGTTTGTGATTTTTGTGTTCTGTTTAAGAAATCTTTTGCTACTCATGGTCATAAGGAATTCTGTGTGTCTTCGGAATTTCTATTTTACTTTTCATATTTAATCCACAACCCATTTGGAATTGATTTATTTTTAATTTTTAATTTTTATTTTTTTGAGACAGAATCTGGTTCTGTCGCCCCGGCTGGAGTGCAGTGGCATGATCATGGCTCACTTTGCCCTCAACCACCCAGGTTGAGTTATCCTCCTGCCTCAGCCTTCCAACTCGCTGGGACTGTAGGCGCATGCCACTGTGCTTAGCTAATTTTTAAATTTTTTGTGGAGATGAGGTCCAGCTGTATTGCACAGGCTGGTCTCAAACTCCTGGACTCAAGTAATCCTCCTGTCTCAGTCTCCCAGTGGAGTGCCAGGATTATAGGTATGAGTCACTGCATCTGGCCTGGAATTGATTTTTATGTATGATATGAAATAGGGGTCAGTTGCTCCCCATATGGATATCTAGTGTTTCTGTCCATCTTGTATTCTATCATGAGTCCTGTCCATGGAAGCTAGTTCAGTGTAGTTAAAGAGAAGATTACAGATGCTGGACACATGTTGTCTGGGTTCAAATTTTGACTCTGATTTAATTATTAGCTATGCAAACTTGAGTAAATTACCTAACATCTCTTGGCTTATCTTTTCTTCTGCAAGATGGCCATAATAAAATATTCTGAGAATTAAAGAAGTTAAAATATAAGTTATTATGTTTTTCCTTCTCCCTGTCTCTTCAGTGTGACAAGACCCCCTTGAGGTGTGTTGAGGTATAATTTACATGTAATCAAATGCATATATTTTAAGTATACAGTCTGAGTTTTAACAAATATGTATACCCCCTTACCAGCCCCCCCACTCAAAATAGCATTTTCATCACCCAAGAAAGCTTCCTTCTGCCAATTTGCAGTCAACCTCATCCCCCACTGGGAGATAAACAAGCACTGATTTGATTTTTATCACCAAACATTAGTTTTGCCTGTACTATAACTTTGTATAAATGAGTTTATAGGCTATGTGCTCTTCTGTGTCTGGCTTCTTTCACTCAGTATGTTTTTGAGATTCATTCATTTACAATCCATTTCATTTTTCCTATTACTTTGTCTACCCATGTGTTTTCCACAAATGATATAAAGATACCAAGCAAGGTATCTCAGTTATTACAATGCATGAATCACTGACCTCTGAATCTGATAAGCAAGTTTTTATTATTTGGTTGTGTTTTTGTTTTTTCTGGTGAGTTTTCTTGTAGATCTTACAGAGAATTTTGAAAGATTTACTTAAGCAAAATCTACCTGTATGAAAACAAAAATACAGAATTTGTGAATCATGTAGAAGAGTATAACTTTCAGAGAATGACATTCTTGATAACTAGGTAAATCTTTGGGATCTCAGTGAGAATTTCTTAGTCGTATCTAAGCATGTAAACCAGTATAGAGTATATAATATTTAATATGTGATTTTTCTAGATATTTATAAATTAGGGAATATTAGGTTTCAAGAACTGCTTTTCTTTGTTTGTTTCCACTTAATGATGAAACAATATGGCTACTACTTGCTCTTCAATTAGGTAATTGGTTTAACATGTTCAGTAGAAGCAGACACATTTGATTAATGCACATGAAAAACTTTAATGTGAACTTACAATGATTTTCCAGATAAATGCTTCTTTGGTGCACAGTTAAATCTGTGCTAGTGATTTATATGTTATTTATGATTGCAGCGGTGATTCTGTTACTGTCCTTTTGGGAAACAGAAAATTAAATCATGATTTGAGAGAAAAAATGATTCTGACTTAATCAGTTAAATTGCCATACAATTCTGGAATAGACAGAATAATTGCATGTCACATTAAATTTGAAGTGATAGATTTATATTTCCAACTTTCTTTTATTTGTTCTGACACAAGTAAATTCATTTGGTTTTTTCCAGATTGCACTGGTTGTGAGTAATGTTGACACCATTTTAGGTGACTCTTTAAAATTAGCTAATTTTAAAAGATCACACTATTATTTTTATGTTTAAGTATAAACCAAGAAAAATACTGTATTTAAAAATACATGTTATGGTTTTAGCTCTACAGATTTTTTTTTATTTTTACTTTGCTATTTAAAAGCAATTAGAATAAATGTTATGTGGTAATGTTACTATGTGATGTCCTATTCTGTACCCCTAATTTTCTCAGAATCAGACCTTTAAGTATCTGATTAGGACCATTCCTATTTATGTTTCACAAATGGTGGTAAAAGGAAAAGCTTTCTATTTCTGGTAAATCCTTGTGTATTGTGTAATTTATTGACTGGGTAGCAAAAGTAGTAAGCATGCCCCACAGCCTTTAGTCCTCAGGGGAAATTATAAAAGGACAAAGTTTTAAATGTGATATTGCTGTTACCATATTTAACATATGAATTCCTTAAATTCGTGATGCCTTTTGAAAGGCAAGGTGATATTGATTTTTATGAGAAGTTTTTTTTTTCCTCTGGCATTTCCACTAGAAACATCCTTTATTTACTTTTTCAAATCAGGATTCAACTACAGAAACTAATCTAATGGTTTAGAGTATAGGAAGTGTGAGGGAATCATAATGTTAAGCTGCAGCCAGAGGGGTCAGAGACAGGTTACCAGTTCCTGAAGCCTGTTTCTTCTATGATGTTACCTGTGCTTGATCACTTAATCTTTCTGAACAGGTCATGAGAAGTTTTCCAAATTAAGGTAATTACAAAAGACAAGGAACACATCGTAAATCAAGTACCAAGTGCTTAAGACAGCATTGTTATTTGAAGAAATGATCAGTCACTTGAAAATGTATTGAGTGGTTTGATGTTAACTTGAAAACACTAGATGTTGCTAATACCAAGTATTTTAATCATATTTAACCAGGGGGAAAATGGGTAAAGTATATATATATAAAACAAACTTTCTCCCATCTCCAACAAGGAACACTTGCTTATCAAGTAAAGCTTTTGTTTTAAATCAGACTAATAAATGATGGGAATTGTCAGTGCAGTTAACAAATTCATTTTAAAATCAGCATGTGGTATTCAACAGTGTTTCCCTCCAGCGATTATATGTACGATATTGAATTTAATATGCCATGAATTTCCTTTTAAATACACAAATATAGGGTATATTTTGTGTATGTATTGATGTATTATATTTTGTTTTCATAGTAAAATCCAATCCCAATTAGTTTTATAAGTAAATTACAGTTAATAAAGTAGAAATGCATACTTTAAAACATTTTTACATTGTTTTAATGTGTAGCGTAGGTTTTTACTTGACAGCTGTTTGCAGAACCGTATCATTTAGTTAACTAATTAATCTGGAAACTTAAATTATGAGCTACTTTAAATAATTTTAGAGAGTACTTGCAACTTTAAAATGTTTAGTGAAATAACTTGTATTTTTATTGTACCTTTGTTTGAAATTGTAAAAATCTGTTTAGACATCAGATGAGTAGAAATGGTTCAATTCCTACATAAATGTAAGCTAAATTGCGTTTTAAAATTATACTTTTTATTTCATATTTTTTTGATCTGAGTAGGATAGTTTCAAATCTATGATTTTATAGGTTATTATACTACGTAAACATTTAAAACATTTAAACTGGCCAAGTGTGCAGTGAAATCTCTGTACACTTCTACTGAAGGTAAGACCTTAAAGGAAAATGTCCTTAATACCCAAATTTTATTCTTACTGAAAATAACAAAGAATATATTTGATTTCCTACTAGTTATAAAATAGTCAATGTTTATAATGAAGTTATAAAATTTCATTAGCAATGTGAAGGTAAGATTGTCATTTTGAACCTGCCATTGAAATTGAGCCTAATTGAGCTTTTTTTTTTTTTTTTTAATTAGTTTGCAGGTCGAAGTAAGAAGGAAACCAAATATTCTCTTAAGGCTGTCGAAGACATGTTGGAAACATTGCAGATCACCCAGTCTTAAGGTTTCAAAAACTCTTTGACATTAGATTTCACAACTGCACAATTGAACTTATTGGCCTGTAACTTATTTACTAAATGCCCAGTGCTGTTTATATACTACAGTAATTTTCTGTTAAGAAGGCAGTTGTAAAGAATGTGTTTATATAAACCTAAAAATGCCTTTTACTGCTAAGTGGGAAGATGGGGGAAATCCATGGAAGAGAGATTTAAGACTTATTGATTGTACATCAGTCTCTTCATATCACATATATATATATATATATATATATATATAAAAAACTCTAATGTAGAATAACCTTGTTAAATAAACCATGATGATTTATTAAACTTGCGTATGAAGATTCTAACTTCATTTTGTTATACTCACAGTGGATATATTGTTTAAGAACTCAGTTTCTAGTTAACTCCTTACTGGTGATAGCAAAGACACAGCATATGTAGCTGACAGAAGCAGAATATTTTGACTTTGTTTATATTGTCAAATTTAATTTTGCTGTGCATTCCAGTGGACTATTTGAATTGTTTTATCTGCTGTAATATCCTTCTGATGAATCTTGCTTAAAACATGTCATTCTCCAAAGTTCAGCGATATTTCTTTGTAAAATTTTTGTTTTGATATAGGACATAATTGAGATTTTTACGTATAAAATGCCTTAAGGTAAATATGTTACGACACTTAAAGTGAACTTTTATGCAAGTTATATTTATTGAATCCTTTAATAGTAAATTACATGAAAGAATATTCAAGAATCATATAGAGTAGGGATTAAGGGGTTTTAGTGGCTGAGTTATTTTTAATTTTGAAAAAATAAGAAAATTAAAACTATCCTTAGAAATGAAAATATTAAAATTTTCCTGTTCTATCATTACCTTAGTTAGAATTTTTTATTTTTCTCTTTTCTTAATAAACAACCATTAGGCTACCTTCAACAGTATTTGACATGTTTCAGTAAAATAGAAGAGATTTTGAAAGTTAAATTTCATTTAGACACAAATCAGGTTTTAAAATAGCAACTGTTCATAGCAAATATTTATGGTATTTATAATAAATATATTTAAATTTATTTTTACTAAAAATATACAGAGGCATCTGCAGACTTGCCATTACCGCTTTGGGCAAGTGGGGATTGTGGAGGAATTGACAATCTAGAAGTGTTTAGAAAGAAAGGTATTGTCAATATCAGCTGCTTGTTTAACCTTTTGAATAGTTCTGCTAATAAATTATTCTCCATATCTAGTCTAATTTTTCATATTACAGTCATTTTGTTTTATTCTGCCATGAGTCATAGGCAGCTAATTAATATCTTCCATGAAAGAACTCTTTTCATATGAAGGTAATTTTCTGCTAATCTTTGTTACAACAAAGATCTACTCTTTGTACACATGAAATTAGTAACTGCATTTTCAACACGATGAACCATTTGAAATTTACATTTTCTGTAAAGAAAATAGTGCCTGCACGTTGTCTCACTGCCTTTTCCCCTTCAAACCTCCTCCGCATCAGTCACTGGATTAGTGTTTACTCTAGCAATTATATTTGTGTAATAAGTAATTCAGTGCCTCTTATAGCTGTCTGCCTTAGTTTCACTTTTTTTTTTTTTTTTTTTTTTTTTTGAGACAGTCTCGTTCTGTCGCCCAGGCTGGAATGCAGTGATGTGATCTTGGCTCACTGCAACCTCCACCTCCCAGGTTCAAGCGATTCTTGTGCCTCAGTCTCTGAGTAGCTGGGACTACAGGCATGTGCCACCATGCCTGGCTAATTTTTGTATTTTTAGTAGAGAGGGGGTTTCACCATGTTGGCCAGGCTGGTCTCGAACTCGTGGCCTCAAGCGATCTACCCGCCTCAGCTTCCCAAAGTGCTGGGATTACAGGCATGAGCCACTGAGCCTGGCCAGTATCACTTTATTTTTTCAAAATTTTAATAACCTCTTGCCAAGATTTTATATTTGTTAAGCACATTGTCATTCCGTAGTAATTTATAAATTTCAACTTAAATGTACTGATAATCCCATTAGAGTAGGCAGTTGCCTACAGCTATTACCTTTATTTCTTCTTTGTTTAACAGTACCCTAATTTGATCCGATAGTGGCAAGGATCCCTTTTCCTCAAAGACATTAGGACCTTACCCCAACTCCAGAGGCTGCACCTTCATTGATCTGAAACAGAAGTGGTAGTTTTATTCCGTATAGTCTGTTTAGTACAAGGCAGCACTTTTTGCAGTGAAGGAAATCAACCATCTGTTCTGTCTGTTGTGGTAGCTACTAACCATATGTGATATTGAGTACTTGATATGTGGCCAGTGCAATTGAGAAATTGAATGAAATGAACAGAACCCTACTGAGAAGGGCTTTCCTTTCAAATTAAAAAATCAGAGCTTTGTGTGAAAACAGTCTTTGCCTCTTTCTCCTCTTTCTGGCCAACAACATGCCTAAAGGTGCACCTGCCATCTTAAATAACTATGAAACAGCAAATAAGAGAATGAAAGTTACATTTCAGAGATGGAACTGAAGGAGGATTAAGGGGATCCTGGGTCACTGATAAGGCATTGTTGAACACCCAAACCAAGATGAGCAATTGCCAAACTCCGCTGGGTCCCTGATGAATTGTTGAACACCCAAACCAAGATGAACAATTGCCAGACTCCCCAGTTATTACATGAGAAATAATAAACTCCTAATTGTTTAAGACACTGTTTGATTTCCTGTTACTTCAGCCATGTATGTTTCTGACTGATATATCTGCTTATCCACTCTTCAACTTTTTTTAACGTGTAAAATTCTTATTTTAGACATGTCAGGAATACTGTTTCAGAATTGAATCATTTAAAGCAAGCAGATAATTGCATATAACAAAAGAAGTAATGTCTTATTGCAGCTCACCACCTAGCATTCTGAGCCAACAGAGGTGAAAAAGGGACATGTTTACACAGCTTTAACCATAAAAATAATACTGATTTGGGGGCACAAGAGGATGTAGAGAAAAATATAAAGGGAAGACCAGTATTTTAATATGCTGCAAGCATATACTTCAACTTTTTATTGATAAATATTTCAAGTAATCTTTTTGTCTTATATACTGTAGCCCACTTACCATCAAAGTAACTTCATTTTAATTCATTTCATAGAACCATAGGATTTTAGACAGGACTTTGGAGATGATTTTGTTGTACTTCATGTTAAGATTAGGAGATCTGAGGTTCAGATAAATTAACCTCTTGTGTTACAGAGCATGGACCAGACCCAGGATATCAGGGGTTTCCAAGTCAGCATTTTTTCTGGTACCCTCTGCTGCATCTGGCTATCTTGCGATGTTCCAATTTTAGAGTGACAAAAATGAGAGCCAGTTATATGCAAGGGTCATAACTTGTTAGCAGATCAGGGATTATAATTCAGATGTTCTGATTTATAAAACAATTTTTAATTGAATAAAAAGGTAAATTATATTTTAATTTAAATTGTGTTTAAATTATTTAAGATATTCATTTACAGTCAATATGAGAACTATTCAAAATATTTAGAATATAATATAATGCCATTTTGCTCCCTCCCCCTCTGCCCCCACCATTAAAACTCTTGTTGTTTTCCATTTATTGGCTTTCAAGGATCTGTATAGTATCAGAATCAAGGGGAGAATTCAGATTTCTTTAATTGTAAACGATGTCCTTCCACTTTCCCACACTTTGAATTCAGCTACACTTAAAGTGCATGAAGTTGTTATACTTCCTTCTTCCACAAACATTCAGCATCTACAAAATAATGTGATGAAAGACTAAATGCATTCCTCTTAAGATTAGGAACAAGATAAGGATATGCACACTCACCACTCCTATTCAATGTAGTACTTGACATCCAGTGCAATAACGTACGAAAAGGGGATAAAAGGCACAGAGATTGGAAATGAAAAAATTAAACTTTATATTTGCATTTAACATTATTTTCTACATACAAATTCCTCAGAAATCTCCAAGAACTTAAAAGAACTAGTGAATTTAATAAGATCACAGAATACAAGATCGACCACACAAAAACTGTGTTTCTGTATGCTAACACCATTTACAGTTTTGAAATATAATACTAAGTATAAATCCAACAAAACACCTACAGGACCTTGTTGATGAAGAGTCAAACTCTAAAATATTTGAAGAGATTTATTTTGAGCCAAATGTGAGTGACTAATGGGCTGTGACACAGCCCACAGGAGATCCTGAAAACATGTGCCCAAGGTGATTGGGTTACAACTTGGCTTTATACATTTTAAAGAGATGTAAGGCATCAGTCTATACAGGTAAGATGTACACTGATTTTAGGAGTGTGGGACAACTGAAAGCGGGGACTTCCAGGTCATAGACAAATCCAAATATTTTCTGATTGGCAGTCGGTTATTATCAGTAGAAAGGGATGTCTGGGATAGTGGGTTGTAGAGACCAAGGTTTTATGCAGATGAATCCTCCAGATAACATGCTTCAGAGAGATAATAGATCCAGAGAGATAATAGATTGTAAATGTCTAGACTTAAAGAGTCTGAAACATAACCATTTATATGAATTGGAAGACAATATATTAACTAAGTTGCCCCCAAGTTGATTTATGGGTTTAATACAATTCCTATAAAAATCCCAGAAGGATTCTTTGTTGAATAATTCTGATTCTAAAGAATGTAAAATTTCCACCACAGGTTTAGCTACCTGGGAGGTAGAGGTTGCAGTGAGCTGAGATCACGCCACTGCACTCCAGCCTGGGCGACAGAATGAGACTGTCTCAAAAAAAAAAAAAAAAAAAAGAGAAACTAAGGCAGACAGCTGTAAGAGTTACTGAATTACTTATTACACAGGTTTAGCTACCCTGGAAATCAGTTTATCATACACGTTTATATTACAACCATCATGCACCTTTCATTTGGAGCATTTATCACTTTAATTATATTTTCAGGTGATTGTCTGTCTCCCTCAGTAGATTCTTAAATTGCATGAGGGCAGAGACCTTGTATGTTTTTGGCCATGTTTACCTTGTTAGTTTCTACCATAGTGCTTGCATATGGTATGTATTTGAATGAATTAAAAATACTATGCACATTTAGGTATAGTTTTAACAAACCTTACTTGCAGAAGTAGCTTAATTCTACGTCTACACTTAGTTCTCTAGTAAAAGAAACTGCAATCAGGAAGTCACTTCAGAAATCTAATCTGCAGCCTGGGTGTGGTGGCTCAAGCTTGTAATCTCAGCACTTTTGGAGGCCGAGGTGGGTGGATTGCCTGAGGTCATGAGTTTGAGACCAGCCTGGCCAACATGGTGAAACCCTGTCTCTACTAAAAATACAAGGTGGCCCATGCCTGTAATCCCAGCTACTCAGGAGGCTGAGGCTGGAGAATTGCTTGAACCCGGGAGACGGAGGTTTCTGTGAGCCGAAATCGCGCCACTGCACTCCAGCCTGGGTGGCAGAGCAAGACTCTGTCTCAAAACAAAACAAAACAAAATCTAATCTGCATATCATGAACAACACAGTAATACAACTAAGTTGATCATATATATAAAACACATAAAGAATAGGAAAAAATAATTCTTAGAAATTTGTTTAGTTTGAGAAATGCAAACTGGAGGCATTCTTAGCCCCCAATTTTTCCCGACTCTAAAGATTATGTGAATGCCGAGAGAGGTTGATGGACTATAGAAAGGTCTAGTTAGTGGTTCTCAAAGTCTGGTCACTTGGAAGCTTGTTAGACATGAAAACTGTTGAATCCCACCCCGTATCTACTGAATGAGAAACTTGAGTGGGGTCCTCTTTGTGTTTTAACAAGCCTGTCATATGTTTCTGAGGTCCGCTAAAATTTGAGAACCATTGGTGTCAAATAGACTGTATTTTGAAAACAATGATTGAAAGAAGCAAATGATTTCATGGAGATCTGCATGTTACTTTGCTTCTTACATTATGAC